CCTGCCCGGGCTCTCTTGCTGAAATCATTGGAAAACCATAGGAATCTTAAGAATTCTGTCAAATCCAGCGATTTCACGTCATCGCGCGGTGCACTCGCGATGCTCCGTCATGCACCCAGGCAGCGAATCCTGTGCAAAAAATACCACGCGGGCGACATGCGCGCGCGTCGCCGCGAGCGCGTGCTCAAATCCTTCTAGAGTCGTCGCCGTCATTGGCACCGTCGCATGGACGTCCTGTCGTCCACGTCGCAAAATGCATGGCAGGAATGGGACCCGGCTTACCGGGCCGTTCTCGACACGGCCACCTCTGGCTTCCTGCGGTGTACCGGGCCATTCTCGACTCGTCTGGCAATGCGTGCGCGGCATTCAACACGCGCTCGCCAGTTCCCGTCGGCAACCGCCATCGCGGCCGCATCAGCTGTACCAAACCGGCTGGCCGGTGTGACTTCGGCCCCCAGTTGTGCCAGCTTTGCTTCTTATGTTGTGGGAGGGCGGGTGGGACTGGGCATGCCATGCTTGACTCGCTCGAGCTGGCTAGCTTGACTCCTACTCCTACTCCTACTCCTATCCTTATTCCTTATTAGAATATACTCCTACTCCCCCCTCAGGCCGGCAGATAGGGGCCCCATCCGGGTGGTCCCATCCTAACCTGTAAAAAACAATACAAAATCAACATGTTTCTTATTTTTTCCTCTCGACATGGACGTCCTGTCGTCCACGGCGATAATCCATTGCAAAAAATACCACAAAGAGCACACGCGCGCGTTCATGTCAGAATCCTACCGAACACCGTGTGTTTGCAAGCATTTCAACATAAAAACATCAAAAACCCAATGTTTTTTCACAAAAATTATACAAATTTCCTGCCCGGGCTCTCTTGCTGAAATCATAGGAAAACCATAGGAATCTTAAGAATTCGGTCAAATCCAGCGATTTCACGTCATCGCGCGGTGCACTCGCGATGCTCTGTCATGCACCCAGGCCGCGAATCCTGTGCAAAAAACTACCACGCGGGCGACATGCGCGCGCGTCGCCGCGAGCGCATGCTCAAATCCTTCTAGAGTCGTCGCCGTCATTGGCACCGTCGCATGGACGTCCTGTCGTCCACGTCGCAAAATGCATGGCAGGAATGGGACGCGGCGCACACCCCGCGCCCGCCCATCCAATCCGTCCCATTCTAATCTGCAAAAGACAATACACAGTTTTTGTTTTTCTTGTCAACATGGTCGTGCTGTCGTCACGTCGCAAAATGCGTGGCAGGAATGGGACGCGGCGCACACCCCGCGCGAAGGGGTGACATGTCGCTCTCGCCTCGGCGCCGCGCACCAACGTTTTTCCTCTCAGCATGGACGTCCTGTCGTCCACGTCGCAAAATGCTTGGCAGGAATGGGATGCGGCGCACACCCCGCGCCCGCCCATCCAAACCCCCCCGTTATAAAAAAAAACAATACAAGTTGGGGCCTTCTGGCAATGCGTGCGCGGCAATGCGTGCGCGGCATTCAACACGCGCTCGCCAGTTCCCGTCGGCAACCGCCATCGCGGCCGCATCAGCTGTACCAAACCGGCTGGCCGGTGTGACTTCGGCCCCCAGTTGTGCCAGCTTTGCTTCTTATGTTGTGGGAGGGCGGGTGGGACTGGGCATGCCATGCTTGACTCGCTCGAGCTGGCTAGCTTGACTCCTATCCTTATTCCTTATTAGAATATACTCCTACTCCCCCCTCAGGCCGGCCGATAGGGGCCGCATCCGGGTGGTCCCATCCTAACCTGTAAAAAACAATACAAAATCAACATGTTTCTTATTTTTTCCTCTCGACATGGACGTCCTGTCGTCCACGGCGATAATCCATTGCAAAAAATACCACAAAGAGCACACGCGCGCGTTCATGTCAGAATCCTACCGAACACCGTGTGTTTGCAAGCATTTCAACATAAAAACATCAAAAACCCAATGCTTTTTTTCACAAAAATTGTACAAATTTCCCGCCCGGGCTCTCTTGCTGAAATCATAGGAAAACCATAGGAATCTTAAGAATTCTGTCAAATCCAGCGATTTCACGTCATCGCGCGGTGCACTCGCGATGCTCTGTCATGCACCCAGGCCGCGAATCCTGTGCAAAAAATACCACAAAGAGCACACTCGCGCGTTCATGTCAGAATCCTACCGAACACCGTGTGTTTGCAAGCATTTCAACATAAAAACATCAAAAACCCAATGCTTTTTCACAAAAATGCTTTGGGGTGTCCTGTCAGACCGTCGGGCTTCCTCCGGCCACCTCTGGCTTCCTGCGGTGTACCGGGCCATTCTCGACTCGTCTGGCAATGCGTGCGCGGCATTCAACACGCGCTCGCCAGTTCCCGTCGGCAACCGCCATCGCGGCCGCATCAGCTGTACCAAACCGGCTGGCCGGTGTGACTTCGGCCCCCAGTTGTGCCAGCTTTGCTTCTTATGTTGTGGGAGGGCGGGTGGGACTGGGCATGCCATGCTTGACTCGCTCGAGCTGGCTAGCTTGACTCCTACTCCTACTCCTACTCCTACTCCTACTCCTACTACTACTACTACTACTACTACTACTACTACTACTACTACTACTACTACTACTACTACTACTACTGCTACTACTACTACTACTACTACTACTACTACGACTACTACGACTACTACGACTACTACGACTACGACTACGACTACGACTACGACTACGAGTACGACTACTACTACTACTACTACTACTACTACTACTACTACTACTACTACTACTACTACGACCACTACCACTACTACTACTACTACCACCACCACCACCACCACCACCACCACCACCACCACCACCACCACCACCACCACTACTACTACTACTACTACTACTACTGCTTGTGATATTATTACTACTAATGGTCTGCGATCGGCCGACCACAGCCGCGTTGTGAAAATTAGCCTGGCGAAGAAACCAACCATATGCAATTGTGTCTGCCGCCATTGTGAATATCGCCTTGGGTTGAGCTCTTTATGGGGCCACGAACCGTGCGAGGGGTGCGCCTAAGTGGGATTGAAACCGCATGTAAACTTTGCCACTGGGGCCTTCGGTGAAGCTCCCTCTGGGGCAACGAGCCGTGTGTGGGGTGCGCCGACATGAGGGTGGAACCGCATGCAAGCTTTGCCACTGGGGCTTTCGGTGGAACGCCCTATGGGGCCGCGAACTGTGTGAGGGGTGCGCCGAAATGAAGGTGGAACTGCATGCGAACCCTGCCAATGGGGCCTTCGGTGGAACTCCCTATGGGGCCACGAACCGTGTGAGGGGTGCGCCGGAATGAGGGTGGAGCTGCAAGCGAATTCTGCCACTGAAAGCTTCGGTGGAACTCCCTATGGGGCCACGGTGCGAGGCCAATTCTTATACACCACCACCGCCCGCAACAGTAATTTACCGCAAGAAGGGTTCGGGGCAGGGTCATGCCAGACGACGCTGCGACGCCACGGCGAAAAGGAGCGCGGCGCAGCTCGCAGGCGCCGCGGCATGGGGAGTTCCTGAGGCAGAAACAGCACTTCTTGGTGGTTGTGTATAAAAATCGCTCCTCTTGGTAACCAAAATTCTATACACCACCACCGCGCGCGCTTCGATGAATTCTGTTTCGGTCCGTAAGGGAGAAGGGGTAGTCCGGTTGCCGTTGGCGGCGGGAGAGGGACTGCGGGCTTTTCAACAAAACAAAACTGCACCAAATCGCATCGCAAATTATTCTCGATCTTGGTGGTGGTAGTCATTTACTGTGCTCGGACACGAACCGTGTGAGGGATGCGCCGAGATGAGGGTGGAACTGCATGCGAGCCCTGCCAGTGTGGGCCACAAACAGTGTGAGAAAGGCACCGACATTGGAGCGGAAATGCATGCGAACCCTGCCGCTGGGGCCTTCGGGGGAACTCCCTATGGGGCCACGAGCCGTGTGAGGGGTGCGCCGACATGAAGGTGGAACTGCATGCGAACACTGCCACTGAGGCCTTCGATGGAACTCCCTATTGGGCCACAAACAAAATGAGGGGTGCGCCGGAATGAGGGTGGAACTGCATGCGAACCCTGCCTCTGAGGCATTCGGTGGAGCTCCCTATGGGGCCACGAACCGTGTGAGGGGTGCGCCGAAATGAGGGTGGAACTGCATGCGAACCCTGCCACTGAGGCCTTCGGTGGAACTGCCTATTGGGCCGCGAACCGTGTGAGGGGTGCGCCGAAATGAGGGTGGAACTGCATGCGAACCCTGCCACTGCGGCCTTCGGTGGATTTTCCTATGGGGCCACGGACCGTGTGAGGGGTGCGCCGAAATGAGGATGGAACTGCATGCGAACACTGCCGCTGTGGCATTCGGTGGAGATCCCTATGGGGCCACGAACCGTGTGAGGGGTGCGCCGAAATTAGAGTGGAACTGCATGCGAACCCTGCCAATGGGGCCTTCGGTGGAACTCCCTATGGGGCCACGAACCGTGTGAGGGCGTGCAGGAATGGAGGGGGAACGATGACGATGATGGTGATGACGGCCGTAATGGTGATGACGATGATGACTACGATGACGGTGACGAGTTTGATAATGATGATGATGATGATGATGGTGATGGTGATGATGATGATGATGATGATGATGGTGGTGGTGGTGATGATGATTAGATGAGGAGGAGGAGGAGGAGGAGGAGGAGGAGGGGGCAGCGGGAGGAGTGACGCGGGGCGCTGTCTCTTCAAAACGAAGACCCAAAACCACAGGATGGTTGGGAATTCCATCGGTGATCCCCTGCTGATCAAAATGGCCCGATCGTAACGCTTTGTAATCCGCCCCAAGTGGTTGCGATCGGGCTGAAGTGGTTGCGATCGGCCCCGGTCGCGACAGGACAGAGGCAGCAGACATCAGGCCAAGACGGCAATGGACTCTGAGAGCCCGCGGGCTGGGGAGATGCATCGAGCATCGCCACTGTTCCAGAGCGGCCTGAGAGTGCTCTGCGAATGGCAATCATGGGATGCGGTTCATTTCTTAGGGCGCCCCCCATCTGCAGCAACCACAAACAAGTCTCGCGTGGCACTGCAAGCATCGCTACCAATACCGCTGAACAGCGGAAGGGCGCCGCGCGAATACGCGGCTTGCTCGCAAGCGCTGACTGCAACGCTGTAGCTGGCAATGTTCGGCGCCGATTCCATTACCATGTCCCGCACCAAAGCCAATGCCCGCTGCCATTGTCCAACTGACGCACACGCGAGAATTGAGGCGCTGTAGCTAATGGCGTTCGGTTTAATGTCCGCTTGTCTCATGCACCCGAGCAATGACAAGGCGCGCTGCCATTGCCCGCCCTTCTCGCATGCACTAATTCCAGCATTGTAGGCAATCACATTCGAATCCAACGCGCCTTCCCTCATATCTCTCAGCAGGGACAGCGCCTGCTCCCACTCGGCTGCTTTCTCACAAGCGCTTATTCCAGCACTGAAGCTGATGACGTTCGCCTCCAACTTCGCTGATCGCATGTCGCTTAACAACCACAGCGCCTGCTGCCACTGCCCAGAATCCTCGCACGCGCTGACACCAGCACTGTAGCTGAAACATCGTGGGCCCGTGTACTTCCGCACGCGCAGAGCAGGGCGAATATTCGTGTGGGCCTCAGCGTCGTTGGTCAAAGTACGCCTGCATGAATATGAGTTCGTGGTTCCACTCTGTCGCGCACGATATCGTCTGAGACCGCTTAAGCTATGCTGGTCTGTGGAGACGATGGCGGGCGAACACCTAACACCTGCAAGACAACTTGTGCAATCTGTGCTGAGTGAGCATCGCCAGTGTGAAAGCCATAACCGTTCAACAAACGTACCACAAATGTATACGGTTAAATCGATCTTGAAAGTACGCGCCCGTTACATCAGCTCTTGTAAGCGATAACGAGTAAGCGAGGGGATCTTGAGGAGCTGCTAGCGAATGCACACGCTCTCTAAGTCTTCTAAGAGCCCGCCCCCCCGCGCCCCTTTCGCTCCCCCCCATTCACGCTTGAAAACTAGCCTGGCGAAAGACCCAATCAAATTCAGTTGTGAGTATCGCGGTTGTGCGTAGCATCTTCGGTCGAGCTCCCTATGGGGCCACGAAACGTGTGAGGGGTGCGCTGCAACGGGGTGTCGCCCACATGCGGGGAGTGCCACTGGGGCCTTCGGTGGAGCTCCCTATGGGGCCACGAAACGCGTGGGGGGTGTGCCGAAACGGGGTGTCGCCCACATGCAGGCGGTGCCACTGAGGCCTTCGGTGGAGCTCCCTATGGGGCCACGAAACGCGTGAGGGGTGTGCCGAAACGGGGTGTCGCCTACATGCGGGCGGTGCCACTGGGGGCTTAGGTGGGGGTCCCTATGGGCCACGATCCGTGTGATCGTGTGCCGACATGGGTGGCGCGGGCACATGGGAACGTCGCCATTGGTGCCTTCGGTGGAGCTCTCCAAGGGGTCACGAACTGTGTGAGTAAAGTGCAGAGATGCGTGGCGCGGTCGCATGGGAACGTCGCCACTGGGGCCTTCGGTGGAGCTCCCTATGGAGCCACGAACCGTGTGAGAAAAGCCCCGGAATGGGTGGCGCAGACGCTTGGGGGCCACGAACCGTGTGAGGAGTGTTCCGAAATGGGTGGCGCGGACCATGGGAAAGTCGCCATTGGTGCCTTAGGTGGAGCTCCTTATGGGGCCACGAAACGATTGAGGGGTGCGCCGAAGAAATGGGTGGCGCAGACGCTTGGGGGCCACGAACCGTGTGAGAAGTGTGCCAAAATGGGTGGCGCGGACGCATGGGCACGTCGCCAGTGGTGCCTTATGTGGGGCCCCCTATGGGGCCACGAAACGTTACCGAAATTGGTGTCGCAGACGCGTGGGACCGTCGCCACTGGGGCCTTAGGTGGAGCTCCCGATGGGGCCAGGATCCGTGGGAGGTGTGAGGGGTGTGCCGAAATGTGTCGCACGGACGCATGGGAACTTCGCCACTGGGGCCTTCGGTGGAGCTCCCTATGGAGCCACGAACCGTGTGAAGGGTGTGCCGACATGGGTGGCGCGGACGCATGGGAACGTCGCCGGAGCTCCCTATGGAGCCACGAACCGTGTGAGAGGTGTGCCGAGATGGGCGGGGCGGACGCATGGGAACGTCGCCACTGGGGCATTCGGTGGAGCTCCCTACGGGGCCACGAAAAGTGTGAGAGGTGTGCCAAAATGGGTGGCGCGCTGATGGTGAAGATGGCGGCGATACTGATGACGATGATGGTGATGATGATGGTGATGATGATGGTGATGACGATGATGATGATGATGATGATGATGATGATGATGATGATGATGATGATGATGAAGATGATGATGATGATGATGATGATGATGATGGGAGGAGGGGGAGTAAGAGGCTGGAGGGACGCGGGGCGCCGTCTCTTCAAAACGAAGACCCAACACCACAGGATGGTTGGGAAAAATATGTTCTGCGTTCCCATTGCAACAATCCCCACTAAAAATGGCCCCTATGCTCCCGAAGCCACGGTCCTTCGCGAACGTCCATGGATCCGCTCTCCTCCCGAGGCCACGTTCCCATATAGCAATCGGTGGACCCGCGCTCCCAAGACCATGATCGCTCGAGCTTCCAAGACGGCCGAGGCAGGCAACCACGGTCACCAATATGCCCCAAGCCTAGATAGAAGACGGCCCAAGATAAATACAAGACGGTCCACGATGGCCTCAAGACGGCCTCAGAGGCCCCAAAGACTGGGCAAGAGAGCTTAAAGAGGACCCCCAGAACTGCCAAAAGGAATCACAATGATTGATGCCCGGATGGTGTTGAACAGACTTTTGGCGTCAGCTCAAGAAGGCACCAGAATGGCTCCAAGATGTCAGCTGTTCGAGCCTCGATGGGCCAGAGACGGGCCAACGACGGATCAAGAGACCTCCCAGACAGACAGAAAGTTCAAAGATGACCTCCCAGAGCGCCTCCCCTCAGACGGCCCCAGAGAGCCCCGAGACGGCCCAAGAGCGCCCCAAGACGACTCAAAGACAGCCCAGGAGGGTCCCAAGACTGCCACACTGGAGCCCAAGACAGCCTCAGGACAACCCTCAATGAGCTCCTCCACAACGTTGTCACAGTCACGATTCTCCACATTTCACCCACCCACTACGATGCTCCTCCATGTTATTCCTAGTCCGACTCTGCCCCAAGACGACCTCAAATGGCCCAACATGATATTAAAACGGACATGTGAGAAATGTGACGGCGTTCTGGCCCTTACTCCAACCTGCAATGCGCTCTGCACCTTTACCGCCACTAGGCTTGCATGTTAAAGCCTACTCTCGCCCCTCGAAAAAGTGTCACCGAGAATACTGGGCTGGCACGGTGGCGGGACTTGTCGCAAACGACTGGGTAACTACATAGAACGCGTGGCGTAACGGGTCGTGATCGGACTGTGAAGTGCTGCTGTACTGGCAACTTCGGATGCGTCCTAACAAGAGGAATGAATTGTGTCAAGCTCCGTCTTCGTCCGGCACATCTCTGCCAGCAAAGATAATGCGCGCTGCCACTGTCCGCCCCTCCTGCAAGCGCTGACTCCAGCGTTATAGCTGATCGCATTCGGCTCCAATGCCGTTTCCTTCATGCCGATCAGCAACGACAATGCCAATTGCCACTGCCCACCCTTTTCGCACGCACTAATTCCAGCGCTGCAACTGATCACATTCGGCTCTAGCTTTTTCTCTCGCAACTGGCACAAGAAATGCACTGCGTGCTGCCACTGCCCGCCCTTCTCACATGCACTGATTGCTGCACTGTAACTGGTAATGCTCGATCTCAATTTCGCTTCAAGCAAAGTTCGGAATAATGACAGAGCCTTTTGCCATTCCCCACCCCTTTCGCAGGCACTAATTCCAGCATTGTAGCTGATCACGTCTGGCTCCATCATTGATTCTCCCAGCTCGGCAAATAATGACAGCGCCAGCTGCCACTGTCCATCTTTGTGGCACGCGCTAATTCCAGCGTTGCATGTGATTATGTCGAGCTCCAACGTCGCTGCGGTGACTTCAGCGAGCAGACACAAAGCATATTGCCATTGCCCACCTTTCTCGCACGCGCTGATTGCAGCACTGTAACTGATGACGTTCTGCTCACATCTCGCTGTATCCATGTCGCTGAACAACAACACAGCTTGCTGCCACTCCCCGACTTCCGCGCACGCGCTGACTCCAGCAGTGAACGCGAAAACGTTCGGTTCCACTGTCGTTTCCCCCATGCCTCCGAGTAGCGACAAGGCCTGCTGCCACTCGCAGCCTTTAGCACAAGCATTGATTCCAGCACTGTAGCTGACTTTATCAGGCTCCATCTTGCTGTCATCCATTGCACTAAGCTGCGACAGTGCGTGCTGCCACTCGCCAACTTGCGCGCACGCGCCGATCACAGTATTGAAGCTTATCATGTCTGGCTCCAACTTCGCTTCCACCATTTCGCGGAGCAACGACAGGGCGTGCTGCCATGCCCCACCTTTCCCGCACACGCCCATTACCCACGTGTGGAGGACTGCGCAGGCGTACCCCTGCAGCGGGGGCGCATCTCGAAGCAGTGTCAATGCCTCTCTCCACTGCTGTGCGCGCCCGCATCTCTTGACAGCGGCAGCGAGAGACGGAGGCACCTTCTCTAAGCCCGTCCTGGATATTATCATGTGGCATCCGGGTTGCGAACGAACTCGTTAGATGACACATGTCGAGCTCCGACGTCCAGCGCTCAAAAGTGGTTGCGAGAAAGCGTAAGTGGCGAACTAGCGCAAAGCTCTGAGGAGGACAGGGCAACAATGCATAACACCAAGTGGCAGCAGCGAGAGGCAACGAGCGGCAGCAGGCAGGGAGCACGGGGGGATCCAGCACTCGAGAACAGCGGGAACATCAGAGACCGATCTGAGCGACGAGCGGCATGCAACAAGCAGCACGCGTGATGAGACGGGCAGTAGCGCGCGACAACAGTTAGCAACAATGTTGAATCTATCCCACGGCACTGCGCGCTCCCAAACCCCGATGTCACGAAACCTTCCCAAAATACTCTGATCAAAAACGCACCCGTCGGTCGTGCGGGAGGGAGCCGCCATGAGGTCAGATCATGTGACACCCATCGAGTCTGGGTCGCTCACGAGAGAGAGCGGCCGCGAGGTCAGATCATGTGACACGCTCGCGTCGATCACTTCGATGTCCTAGACCACGTCGACCAGTACGAGGACACCAGGGTGGTCGGTGTGGCTGTGTCGTCTACTCCGATCGCTTGTCGTCGCTGAGCGCAGCGATCGCCTTTACTCCGAGTAGGGGCTGTGGCCAGGAACGGCATTATGAGCTGAGAGATTGGCCCAGGAGCACCAGTCCGAGCTGAAATCACGCCGCTGGCTGCGCCAGAACCGATGCGGTTCCTGGAATGCGGCCATCACTGGGGTGGGGACTAAATTCCCAGACAACCGACAACTAGCAGCTCGAAAGCATCGAGCGGGCCAGATTTACGACATGTTGGGCCTCTGGGAGCCGCGTGCGGGCTCCAGGAGCGGCAGCTAATAATTCGGGAGGAGAAGCCAGCCCAAAGGAAGAGACCGAGAGGTCAGGCCGGGGGCTCCTTTCAACAACGTTGTTTTGTCGCCAGCGCTCCCGTGACGGCGCCTGAACGAAAAACAAACAATGAGGAAGATGGCCGCGAACCGAACCGAGAACCGAAAACAGTGACCGGACCGCACCGAACTTTCGCCGCATAACCGAACCGGATTGGACCGAACTGGACTAAATGCGGAAACGAACCGGACGCCCCCCCCGCCGAACCGACAAGAACCGAACCGGCCCCCACCACCGAACTGACAGCCCGTGGACCTCCCCTGGCCCCGGCCCCGCACAGCACCTCCTCTTCCTCCTCCTCCTCTTTTTTTTTTGAGTTCCTCCTCCTTCTCCTCCTCCCCCTCCTCCCCTCCTCCTCCTCATCCTTCTCCTCCTCTTTATCCTCTTCCTCCTCTTCCGTAGCCGTGCTAGCTCAAGGTAATGAGTTCTCCTTCAGAATAAGTGGGTGCCGCTAGTTCGCGGCAACTCTCAGTCTTCGACCAGTCCGCCTTGACCAGAGCCAAGTACTCAGCCCTAGTGCGAGGCATCCTTCGTGCACTCCAATGGCGGCTCAGCAGCAGACAAAGAAGAACACTCAGGCTTTCGCGTATTGTGCCTGTGGCCGGTGGAACTTCATTTGGCGCATCATCCAGAATAATTACCAATGCCAGATTTGTAGAGAGCCGTTCGACATCTGTCGGCCCAAGAGGTCGCGTGACGAGTCGGCTGCGGGCGAAGGTGGAAGCAACAAACCCCCTTGGCATTCGAAGGCGTCCAAGGAACAATAATCGGCAACGGCGGCCCTTGCCATGCTACCTCCCGCTCTCCTGCAGACGCCAGCTGCGCAAGCATTTCAGCATGAGATCACGAAGGCCAAGCAAGACAAGAAGCATCAGCAACAGGCCACCCATCCCACCCAGGCGGCAAAACAACGTATGGACGCCGCCCACACGGATGCCAGGTGTGAATCCAAAAAGCTCGCCAAGCTGTCCAACAAGCTGCTGGCTGCCAAACAATACTTGGAGGAGGTCGGGTACGAGAAGCAATACGAGGTGGCCTGTATGGCGGAGCAGGAGCGCATCCTCGCCAACGAACAGTATACGAAGCTCACCGTGAAGTCGGGGCCGCTCAAAGATCCAGATGCGATGGTGGATGGCAAGAAGGTCCTTTGCGCCGTTGACGAGTCCATGTTCGCAGATCTGGACCAATTTGAAGAGTCGGCCCAGGTAAATCTACGAAAGTGAGCAAAGATCTGATCGCGAGCCAAGAACGGTTCGAGAAGCTGCTCACATCAAGAGAGCGGTGGAGGCCCCAGCATCCAAGAAGCGCACAGGTCAACAGGTGACGCAGTACCAGCTCGAGAACAAGAGGCACCTGCCCCCGAACCACGTGAAGGACCTGCAGCAACTGAGGACCGCCCCGACGCCGCTGCAATTCCTCCTCGTCAGAGACCCTTTCCGAAGATCCGAAGATCAGACGAAGGCAACCATCAAAGCCACTAAGGAGGAGTCCATCCAGGCCGCGCAGCTCGCTGCCAACGGCAACGTCTTCAAGGTCTCGCGCAGCTGGCAACAATTCTACTCCCGATAGTGCTGCCGCCAAGGGTGCAAGCAGAGGTGGAGGTGCAAGCGACAAACCGCAGCTTTGACAAACATCCCTTCCTTGCCAATGTTACGCAATGGAGCCCCCAGACGGCCCGCTACCACGAGATCAAAGACGACTACAAGGTCGTCGCGTTCTCGGAAACACATGCGAAGCAACGCGAGGCCAACGCGAACGGCAACTTCTAGCCAAAGACGGTTGGAGGTTATAAGCTCTGCCAGCGTTTCGCAAGCACGCTGGTTCCTCGGCAAGTGAATGTGCACTGGCTCGCTCTCCCATAACAGCCGAGTCGTTGGAGCATCTTCAAGAAGAAACACGGCAGCAAGAGACGACGCCCTTGCTTCAGGGTGTTGCCCCCATGATCTGGCATCTGCAATATGGTAAGGTGGTGGTTACATGCATCTACTTGCCCCCAGGTATGAAAGTCGGACAGAAGAATGACGACGCGTTGCGCGCCCTGGGCGCAATCGCTCACTGCCCCGTGAGTAATTCTCGGTAATTGGAACATGCAGCTCAAAGCCCTTATCAACTCTCAGTGGGCCAGCAAGCTACAGGCAGAAGTCATAGTGCCAGACAATGTGAATGTCACATGCTCCCAGGGCGCGAAAGAAAGTCCCTACGATACCGCTCTAGTCAAACTAGAATTCCATGATCATGGTCAAAATCACTGCGGTGTGGGATGTTCCATGGTCGCCACATTGCGGGTTGCATCTGCGGCTTAAAAGTATTCAGCACAAAGTGTGGCATCGTTCTCTCCAACTCGTTCGGCCTCTTCCTCATCGTGAAATGCTGGAGCTCTGCCCCAAGAGCACAATCGCCGTACAAAGAAGAGGAAGGCGGAGGCGGCAAAAAGGTCTCTCATCCCATTTCAACTCCAAGAGGCCTTCGGGGAAATGAATGACGCATTGGAGATCCAGGAGGAGCCCTGGGCCCCAGGTTCCTATCTCTCGCCGAAGGCTTGGGCGGAAGGACGGGAGAAGGCTTCGTGCAGCCTGGAGGCGGGTTTGGACTTCTCCCAGCATCGTGTTCCTGAAACGCTTGTCCTCCAGAGGCTCCCTGCGGATCAGGATCATCTGAATTGGACTTGTGTGAATTGGGCCACTGCTTTAGAGGAGACCATCTTGCCTCAAGAGATTGCCCAGGACCTCAAGGCCCGTGGGCGTCGCAACGGGTTTCAGGTCGAGTGGAAAGCATCCAAGGTGACACCAGGACCAACCCAGATTCAGGATCAGGCGGCCAAAGACTGGGGCAGTGATCACGATGACAGCTAGATTCAGACAACTGGTTGGCAAGCAAGTGGATCTCAGACATCAACTTGTTATTCTCAAGAAAATTTCAGACACGGTCTAACGTATCGAGCAAGCCCAATCCGAACGTAACTTGAGCAAACACTGCAATGGGGACAGGAAGGCATGGTTACATACGTGTTCTCGTCTTCTTTGATGTCCTCGCGGGTGACTGGCATGCGTGTTTTTTCTCACATCTCGGATGTCGTGATTGAGCCCCCAAGCCCTCGAAACTGCCCGATCGCAGCCCATCGCGCAAGTCCCCCCCCATACCAATGCTACCCGTGGTCGAAAGTGCCCTTGGGTTTGCATCCTGACGATCTTCGACGTCGTCTGACTACCAGCTCACCTCTGGTTACTCCGTCGGCTTCGGCATCCACAACAGCGCCGCGGTCCTTAGGTGGTGAGTTCACCGACCCTGAGATGGTGGAGATCCCTATCCTGTCGCAACCCCTTGAGTCCTGCGCCGGGAAGAACACCGCTGGAGACGGCGCGCCCACTCGGGGGAGTAGACCACGAGGCAGCCTCCAGGACTGGGGAATCGCTGGAGGGCCAGCAGAGCGCTGCCACGCGGACTCCATTTTCAAGCAAGTCATCGGCTTCGGTTTCACAGGCCGCAGGAGGGACATCAGTGACGCAGCTGACTACTCAAAGGACGTTGCAGGATGGACAGCAGAACCGCACGACCATGTATGGAGATTGGGAGTTTGACGTTTTGCCAGCAGGGGACCAGTACGTAGCACCCCGCAGATGCGGATAAGAGCGAGGGGGCGGTGGGGGCGTCGGCAGTTTGCGACACTCTGAAGAAGCCCGCCGCAAGCGCCAAAGTTTCACATATTATACAACGAGCCCGCTGCAGGCGAAGATTTTTTCATTAAACCGATGTGGGTCGGTCGCGGGTGGGTCGCTGGTGGGTCGCGAGTGGGTCGCGGGTGGGTCGCTGTTGGATCGCGGGTGGGTCGCGGGTCGCGGGTGTGGAGGGCAGACAAATCCACCCCGTAATAACCTCCCCGACAAACGAAACCGTTTAGCAAACGCACACAAGGAATGAATCGAAAATGGCAGGGCTGTTTAGTAAACGCACAGGGCCGTTTAATACATGTCAATTGTCGGGTCCAGGTAGTTCGCGGGAGGAGTCGCGAGTGGGTCGCGGGTCGCGGGTGGGTCGCGGGTGGGTCGCGGGTTGGGTCGCGGGTGGGTCGCGGGGTGGG